TCAGCACTAGTACAAAGAATGACAGTTAGTTTTGGGCACTCAAACGGATTCTGGACTTCTTTTTTCTTGAATGGTAACCTCTTACCCAACTCCACCCCACATACATGAACATGTCACAGAAAAAGTAGCTTCTGAAAACTCAGGGGAGTTCTAACAGGAGTTTTCTACATGACAAATAAATGTTGTTCAAAGAAAAAGGAACTAGTCACACACTTCAGGTGAATGAGAACCCTTAAGTACACTTAAATTAGTTCTTTGGAGCCTGGCCATTGTTTACATACAATCTAAAAATTATCAGAGGACTACGCCAAAAGAAAGCAGTAAGTTGGTTAAGGAGAAGGTTGGCTGTCATGGATTCTACTTATTCCATTTTGAGAATTGATATTTAATTTCCACATCAGTGACCTTGCTTCAGTTTGGTTCTGTACTGTTTGATGTTTTTTATTTATTTATGATTAGTTTTGTATTTATAACTAGTTTTGTTATGTTTGTGATTACAGTGGTACCTCGGGTTACATACGCTTCAGGTTGCACACTCCGCTAACCCAGAAATATTGCTTCAGGTTAAGAACTTTCCTTTAGGATGAGGACAGAAATCATGCTCCGGCGGCGCGGCAGCAGCAGGAGGCCCCATTAGCTAAAGTGGTGCTTCAGGTTAAGAACAGTTTCAGGTTAAGTACGGACCTCCAGAACGAATTAAGTACTTAACCCGAGGTACCACTGTATGTAAATCTTTTTATGTTGTAAACCACCTTGAGCATGGTTTTAACTATAGAAAAGTGGCATACAAATAAAATGATGATGATATAACGCTAAGCAAGAATGAGAGAATGAGGGTACTTTGTGGATAAATTTTGGCTGCTTCACTCCTCCCCATGCCATCCGGAGCTAGGCAATGGTTTGGCTTAGCATTACATTCAAACAAACAAACAAACACAACAAACAAACCATGAGCTGTAGCCAAGGTTTGTTCTGAAAGCGACAAACCACAAGCCTGGGTTTGGATAAAATGCTAAGCTAAACCTGTTTGGGGAAAACACCCTCACAGAGCAAATTTGAACCCCTGGCAAGTCAAGTTTCGCCTGTGGACCAACAGTTTTCTCAAACCACAGGGCTTATAGAAAAAGACATGGATTGAGCATTGCAAATGTTAATCTATTTTGGCTTTTCATCTTAGAACTTTATATTAGAAGTCCAGACCAAATTTAAAAGGTGACATAATATATTCATATATGCCAGTTAATTTAAGGAAGCCATCATATAAGTACTTAAAAAATAGTTCTAAAATTTGACAATATGTATGTCTCTACTGTTGTATCTCAACACATCCCTGCCTGTGACATATTCCGTCAAATGATTTCACCTTATCTTATGTCTGGAACAGTTTCCCAAAACATCTCCATGATGCTACCTCACATGTTTCTTTCATACTTCCTTCACTTTCTCTGTGAAGACTTTGGCACAATTTACTAGTCCCCATATACAACTGTAATTAAGCCTAATTTAAGAGGCAATGTTTTTTTGGGATGCAGCTTATCTATTATTATGAACTGGATTTTATTGTTAGCCACTATGTCTATTTTTTAATGAAAAGTTGAGATTTCCTATCATTTCCCCTTTCACTGATATCTAGAAGGTCCATGCCTCTCATTCTCTGCAAAGTACCATGTGCATTGTTATATAAATAATTGCTATTCATAATAACAAGAACGAATGAAGTATTCAGAGTCTATTGTTCTTTCTACAAAATATGTCATTGATCAAACTATTATAGACCTCTTGGGTTTATCACCCACTTAAAGAAGCAAAGAGGAATTATATAAGGAAAACAAACTCAAATCTTAGCTGAGAAAAGATACTAGCCTTTGGTACTCAAGCACAGTGGTGTGCAAGGGTGTTTCAAGTGGTCAGTATAGATAAAGGCTTAGATTACAAAATATGTTTATTGTTTCATGTACATGAAGTTGTTGGCCACATTATCTTTGACAGGCATAGAAATCAAAAGAAGAAGAAAAGTGAGCTTCTTTAATTAAGAAGCTGAAAATTTGGTTCATTCTAGTGCCCACATCACAAGCAACAGAAAACCACAATGAAATCCAAATGCATGCCTTTTTGGGGTAAACTACGCTATATTGAACCTACCTGGACCACTCAACATAGCTTTTATTGTTCCCGATGTGAGTGCATGCTCTCTTTTAACTATGAACTCATGGCCATCCGAGGATATCAATTTCACATACATAGCATCAGGGCCTTCACAGCCCCCATATGTCTTCTCTTCTCCATCTATAATACACAATTATTATTCTACTTCAATTCATGTATGTTAGAAAGCGTAGGAATAAATAAATGAGAAAATATTAAATTTCATTTTAATGTTTAATTATATGTTAAATTAAGAACAGTAAATTAAGAAATGCAAGAACACTAGAAACACCAACACAGTCAAAGTGCTCCAATAACTTTTTGACCAAAGACTCCTGAACAAACTTAGTAGTAGTGAGTTAAGAGGAAAGATCTTCTTGTGAAATCAGCACCTGGTTAAAGAACAGGAAGCAATGAGTTGGAATTCACAGACAGTTCTCACAATGAAGGGATGCAAGACATGTCTGCAAGGATCTATGTTGGGATACTTAACTTGTTCATGAATGACCTGGAGTTAGGAGTGATCAGTGAAGTGGATGGAAGAAATAACAGGAAGCTACAATATACCAAGCAAGACCTGTGGTCCGTCTAGCTCAGTATCGACACATACTGGAAGCAGCTCTCTATGATTTCAGACAACAGGCTTTCCCAGTCCTACCTGGAGATACCAGGGATTGAATCTAATACCTTCTGAATGCAAAGAAATTGAGGACATGCCTGGATAATTAGTACTCACACCTGAGTGATCAATTAGTACTCAATACCTATGGCCTTTCCCCGGTCAATGTTATTCACTGCAACTAGGTGTAAAGTGAAAGACTTTGGGGCAAAAAATCCTAACTTCATATTACACTGTTGGGGTCTGAGTTGGCAATGTGGAAAAAATAAACACTCAAAAGAAAAATGCATGTACTTCTATTCTTCCATTATCAGAAACACATATGCAACAGTCATGCATGTGCACAGCACTCTTCCTTTCTCTCCCACACATAGATACATGCAGACAAACACATTCATACACCAGACATGCAGGCACACATAAATACATTTTCAGCATTTCCAGGCTTCTTCACTCCAGCGCTGGAAGATCTCTAAAGAGTCGGCAGAGGGGTTTAATCACCTGATCTTGGCACTATGCACCATGGTGCTAAGCTCAGAGATAAAAGTAGAAGGGAGTATTTCTCTCCACTCCCACTTTGGTGCTGGGGTTAATGGAAATGCTGCCTTTTACTCTGAAAGAGCAGGCAGAGGGCTTATCTCCAATCTTAGCACTGAGATTGGACATAAGAGACAGCTCTGTCTGCAATTTAAGGCCTTATGTTCAAGCTCCATAAAATGGCATGGGATGGCATAGGAAGTGAGTGCGATCTGCTGGAACAGGCCTAGTTGACTAGACAAGGATGTGGCTGACCAGAGGCTACCTACCACTGCCACAGACATCTGGCTAGTCACAGTGGGAAACAGGATGCTAGACTAACTATGTCTTTCTTCTGATCCAGCAGGGCTCTTCTTCTAGCTTTTATCTCCTTAGTTGCTCAGCACCTTTTCACATTGGATGGGTGCTGATCTACTAATCAGAAATCATTGAATCTACTGAAGTGTTTTCTCATTGATGTTTAAACTCTGTTAACTTCCTATTATATCAATATAAAAATGCAAGATTAGCAACTTCACCTAGAAACAAGGGAAATATTTCCTTCATCTCAGCATTGTTGATAGAAACTAACAGAAAGCAGTTGCAGGTGGCTGGTGCATTATTTCGACCAAATGGCTTTTGTTCTTTGGTATAGTACATGTCATTTGGAACTCTTCCTTGATAGAAGCTAGGCATTAAATACATATACAATTTCATGCATTAAACAAGTAGAAATAAGCTTTACAGCACAATGCAGGGCAGGTCTACTTATAATTAAGTCCTAATGAGTGCAATGTCATTTATTCCAAGGGATTATAGGATGCAGCCTTGTTCTGTTTCTTCCCTTGCCCCCATATGCCCCATTCATTCCAGCCAGTTATCAAGTATACTCTAGAACTTCCTGGGCTTGGTTTGTAGGGACATAAGGCAGCCACTTTGCAAACACTAAGCAGATCTCGGTCTGATCTGTGCTAAGAGGTATTCCAGAAAAAAGAGTTATGTACAAAAGCACCACAAGTAATTACAGAATTGTAGAGTTTGAAAGGACCACAAGGGTTATCTAGTCCAACGCCCTGCAATGCAGGAATCTCCTTGCTCAATGTGGGTCTTGAACCCACAACACTGAGATTAAGAGTCTCATCTACCAACTGAGCTATCCTGTATTGTTGCTTTCAAGATGTCATTAAACATTTTACCAAAACATGGAGAAAATAAAACTAGGCATTTATGATATGCTTACACAAAGCAAAGGTTGTTGCCAAAGATATTTTTCACAGTACACTTACCCATATCTTCTTATCAGATGGTTGGTTCTTTGCCCCTAGAGCCTTTGCAATAATATCTGAAAACAAACAGAAAAGTACATATACATTTAAGTTCATTGCTAAAAGCAAAATATGTGGATTGGTGGCAATGTAAAAGTTCATAAACGGCAGTCCTTTCTATAGCTGATATTAAAGTTAAATAAAAACATGACTCAGCTATGTTTACTGTGCCACATTACCACATCACATGTAGATCAGTGTTTTCATTAATCAGTACCAACCAGTATGAGATCAAGGTCACCCAAAACTTCTTATTGACTAACCAATCCCATGACAATTTCCAGGAATAACCTCATAATCTCATCTGGGTGTTTTTTGGCCACAAGACTCCAATTCAGATCTCAGATCCAATTAGATAGGTTAACTTTGGGGCACTGTCTGAATACATGCCTAACAATGGCTTTCTACCAAAGTATTTTTTTGGCTTATTGGAACTACTTTTTCCTCAGGTCCTGCTTGATCCAGATTCTCACCCCAAAAGAGGTAAGTTATCTGAATTATTCATACTTACCTTTTTAACTTCAAGACTAGATTACTGTGATATAATTTATGTGGAGCTTTACTTGAAAAGAGTTAGGAAATTTCCAGTGGCCCATAATAAGGCTACCCAGATGTTGGCCACAGAAAGCCAAGGCAGCATATAAGGGTCTTCACTGGATATGAGTTGCCAGGCTCTACTCAAAATATTGGTCCTCAATATAGTCTCACGGTCAATTTTTAAGGCACTGGCCCTCCAGAAATAACCACTCCCTTAAGTTCATTGGGCAGGTCCAGTAATAAATAATAATAATGATGATGATGATGGTGTGTGTGCATGTATATGTATATACCACCCACCTGATTAGGTTGCCCCAGTCACTCTGGGAGGCTCCCAGCAAAAATAGTAAAAACATAATACAACATTAAACACTGAAAACTTCCATATATGTTATGTAATTAAAATGTACTAGTTTTCTATTGTCCAACAGGACTGATTTATCCTTTGCTTTTGTAGGTAGGTGGATGCCTTTTATTCTACCTAGCTTCTATAGACAGACAGACTTTTTCATAATACAAATTTAGTACTAAAACAAACAAACAAACAAACAAACAAACAAACAAACAAACAGTAAAATTTCATTTTGAATGGTTTATTAAATTATATTATTTAGGTGCTTTGGGGTTTATTTTTGCTGAGAAGTAGCAATAAACATTATTTCATGGAGACAAGTTATACTTCCTATGAGCCGGTAAGCACTCTTTCAGGGTGCAAGGGAAGAAACAATGAAAGAAGGGACAATCACATGTGCCCATACAGATAGGGATTGGAATCACCTTTATAGTCACTTCCTTCCCTATTTAAGAATACAAGTTAATCAAAACAACAAAATTCACTGTTGCACAAGAGGACTTTGGCTCACACAGTGGACCTTCCCCCCCCCAAAAAAAAAATTCTGGATGATCCCCCAGCATTGGGGTTGCAGGGAAGAAAAAATGCAACACAAACACACAAAACTGTTTCACTACCATCTCATATCACAAATCAGCCAAGGGAAAACACACCACCATCAAAAAAACACTTAAGACTGAATGACCTACCCTTCTACATTAATGAAACTTTGGGTCTTGGCCACTTTCCTGCCTAGTCATGCCACTCCTATAATGTCTCTTCCCAGTCTCAATGGAGTTCTTAGCTAACATAATGGCTACAGCACATTTCACTCCCACCAGTGATCAACACCATACTTGGTTACACCCATGTTTTGAAAAACTTCCATTATTGCAAAGGAATAATATCTGACAACTTATGCAAGTGCTGAGGAAGAAATAACAGAGCAGAAGAGGGAAGGTTATTTACAACCAGCACAAGCCTGCAAGTTTTCATGGATGATGTAATTAATGGTTGCTATATCATGTTATTCCAACAACTTATGAGAAGCCCCTTTTTCCCTGTCTACATTATAAAGAATTAGGTGTGCCCCATGATTTATCACAACTCTATAAAAGGTCCCACCACCACATTTCTAAAAAGATATTTAATTGTTCTGCCAACTATTTTATGGAAGAGCATCAAAGATATAAGACAATGCCTTCTTTAATTTTGTTGACAGTGATAAAAGATAACAGAAAGAGGAGTTTTGACCTTTAGAATATAAACCATCTGTATGTTGTAAGTAGCATAACATCCACCAAGCTTTTTGCATAGTTTTCCAGATATAAGAATCTGTTATCTGCTACTTTCCCACACTGTGTATCTGCTAACATTCTTGTATTCAGACTACCAATTCCCCACCCAACAAATGCACTGCAAGCAGATCTGCTGGTACAAGCTTTATATTGTAGTTATTCAAAAGGTTGCTGGATACCAACAGCTATTTAACACTTAGGCAGCAGATTTTCTAAGAGTAGCTTTGCTGAATTTATCATGGGGCAGGGAAGCATATGAAGGTCTCTTTGAATAATCAGCATACAAGCACACTGATTAATATTCTGTTTACATGCTATAATAAATATCAACTGAAATTAAATTTAGAAACAAACTAAATAAGAACTGGAATTTGATCAAATTTGTAATGGAAAATAATATTTGGGCCACTGAAGATTATGGGAACAATCCTATCCCATAGCAAGATCTGCAGGGATGAGTGGCATTATGATCAGGCAGCTCTCTGACTGACCCTGGAGGCTGCCAGGATGGTAAGGCTATGCCACCTTAACTCCCCCATCCTTGGGTCAGAGCTACACTGGCATATCTCCACTTCCCAGCTGGAACCCAGCAACTGAGCTTCCCTTGCAGATCTTAAAATAGCATAAGCCCTGAGAATGGGGTATTCCAGGAGTGTGGTGGGGGGAGGACCAGAGAGGGAGGATTTGGGCTTAGTCATGTGACCTGACAACCCATTGTAAGTAAAGCTAGCAAAATGGGAACTTTACCTCAAGCAATATTTTAAAGGCTTATTCTCCGTCAGGCTTAGGCCAACTCAGCCAGCAGCAGCCATTTTTGAATGAATATTGGATCTGGTGTAATTTATGCAGGTTTAATTTAAGCTGGGTTTACCATGCACCAGTTTATTGTGTATAGGACTGCTACTATATGTATGTCGCTTGTAAAAACTGTCCCCACTACCTGGTACAAAAATTAATAATTTTAACTCATTGTATTCTCAAGCACATCTGAAAGAAGTTTTGTTTTGATTGCCGATTAATTCACCCACAAACAATGAACTGGAATTTGGCTAATTGTGCCCAAAACATGTGATTCATTATTTTTATGGCAATGCAATGAAAACTATGCCCACTCATACACAAACACCATTAAGATTAATCATATGAAAAGAGGAAGTCCTGGAATTTCTGAAAGAAAATTATTAAGATCTACTTATATTGTGATCTTTAGAATACAAGCAGCAGGTGCTACATCAAAGGTGCTTTGAACCAAAACAGTTAGTCATGAAGTGAGCTCCCCTCATTTACTAGGCCATGGGCCTGGCTCTTGATATCCCCACCTTGAACGATAAAGATGAATATCAGACACTGGTCCTTTCTAGTGGTTACACATTGGTCAAGAAACTCTGTTTCTCTGCCTATTCACCTGGTCCCTCCGTTAACCGATTTTTAAAGCAACATGAAAAAACTGCTTTGGGGTGGAAATAACTCGAGTTCTGTATTTTTAATTCAGGTTGTTTTGTGTCAGAAGCTGTTTTAAAATAACAGCAAGAGCCACTTGGGAACCGAGGCTGAAAAACAGGGGGGGTTCACTGCATAAATAAAGGCTGATTTCAGGTCACTCACTCCATGCCTAAACTATACACAGACAGACTGCTTTCCGGGACTTGGGACGTGAAGATCCCCCTACCCGGCGGTTTTAGGAAAAGAAGGGTTAGAAGCCAAGCAACACTGAAATCTGGGAACACTCGGGTTTTAACTGATGAGGAAAAAGAAGCGCGACAGTGAGAGGAAAATCCAGACGCGAGATCATGTGGGATGAAAAAAGCGCAGGCCGCATGGAGACTGTGATGTGGATGTAGCTTTGGGTTCCTCCTCAAGGCGGTGGGACTGAGGTGGCCCTGGGCTCTTTCGACAGAAGGGGCCGTCTGTTTCGTATATGGGGCGGCGGCGGCGACAGGGGGAAGAGTCTGAGGCAAACGGAAGAGTTTTCGGGGGGCGAGTCGGGGTGGAGAAAAGGGGGAGGACGAAGTGAGGCGAGGACGGCGCAGCGCAGTTAAGAGCGGACAGAAAAGCGCCGCCCGGCGAACGCGTTCGGTTCCCTCAGGCTCAGCGGCGCCTCGGTCGCAACGGGATCTGCTTTTCACCCGGCCTCTTCCCAAAGTCAACAGGACGGGAGGAAAAGGGTCCCCGACGGCAGTCACAACACGCGGAAAGGGAAGGAAGGGGTTTGCCGGTCGGCCCCACCCGCTGGCGCTCCCCCGTCCCCGCTCACCTCTGCCCTGCCAGCGCCCGAAAGATATTCGCCGAGTAGCTTCTCAGGCCCCTCACGGTTCCAGCCGGGACAACCGCCCCCCCTCTCCGCCCCAAACCACTTCCTTTCGGTCACAGACACCGGTTTCCGGTCTCCGAAGTGGACGCGCACGGAAAACCATAGAGAGAGGGAGGAGAGAGAGAAAGGCTGAAGTAGCGCCCCCTGTAGTTCCCCTCTGATTCGACAATAACAAAGAGGTTGGCGGCACCGTAAAAAGAATGGTTTTGAGTCTTTGAGGCAGGGTGATCTGGGGTCACGAAGAGTCGGACACGACTAAACAACAACAACAATCTGTAGCCCTCCATATGTTGCTGAACTCCCAATGATCAGGAATGATGGGAGTTGCAGTCCAACGTTTGCATCTGTAGTTTAAGGTTCCAGAAGGTTCTGGCTACCTTTATGAAAGCTGATCTAGGCATTTTTTAATTTTTTATTTACTTTTGCGCTGCAGGTGGGAAAGAGAAATGCCAGACAAGTAAAAGGAACATCCCATTTCCAGGCAATGGGAGTGTCACTACAGTGTTTTAAGTTTATAAATAAAGCATAAACAATATAAACAACTCCCATCGCTTTATTGGGGAAAAACTTGATATTTGCATCCTTCGGATCACGGGGCCACAGTAATTTCTCCTGTGGGATTTCCTTAGTTGCGCAAGTTCTTTCTATCTACGCAAATGACAAGGGGGCGGCTTCAGTCTTACACTGATGAGCCCAGTATACCCATGTCACAGGATTTTAATGCTATGCTATTGCAGAAAAAGGCATGCGCTTCTCATCCTTCAGTCTATGCAATTCGTAGAATAGTGGCCCGGGAAAACCCCAGCCGCGTCGCGTCTGCGTGCCCGTGGCATGCTGGGAAACGTAGTTCGCAAGAGGCTGCTTCCCTAGAAATAGCCAGCCGCGCATGCGCACACATCGGAGTGGCGGCAATTCGCCGCGCCGAAGAGGCCCAACCATCAGTCGAATCCCATGGGAGTTAAAAGGCAGAATACTTACCAGGAACTCCCTCTGGAACGGAAGAAGCGGCAGGCTGAGTGAGGCGCGGTTTCGCCATCCGGAAGGGCTGAGCTGCTCTCGCGAGACTTTGCAGTATGTCAGCCGCCGCGAGAAGGTGGAGGTTTGAATCCTCCTCCAGTGGCGCCCGCTAAACCGTCGCGGCAGCTGGAATCCCTTTATCGGGAGGCCGATCTTCTGCAAGTTTTACTCGGAAGTAAGTCGAGCAGAGGGGGTTGGGCTGTCGGGCGAAGGAGCCACCAGCTGTCTTGGTTCTTTTGCGCAAAACAAAAAACAAAGGGTAGTTCAATGCAGAGCAGATCCATTGATCCATGATAACTTGGGTTCATTGATTTCAGTGGATCTGCTTCGCGTGTAACTTAGTTGGGTGCAATCCTACAGGGAAACGAGCCTCGCCGCCCCGTAAAGGATAGACAGATTTAGGCTGCAGTTCCGTGCACGCATAAGCTGCCATTGAACACAGTGATGGGTTACTTTTGAGAGGGTATGTACAGAGTTTCATCGTTAAAGCTGCAATCCTAGACACACTTGAGAGGCCAAGTCCCCTGAAAGACTTACAGTCATGCACAGGATTGCGTTGCTAGGCTGCAACCTACTGCACATTTACTTTGGAGTTAGCCCCGTTGAACAAAGTGGGGCTTCCCTCCGAGTAGGTGTGCGTGCCTAGGCCTGCACCACTGTTGTGGCAGTAGCATGTCCTGAGCTGCATTCCTTTTGCATAAAGTAAGCCCACCACTAATGTGGGGGCTATGTTCTGGGGTTCACACCTAAAGCCAACGTCTTGTACTGTCACATCACATTGGGTTCAATGGCGCGTGGGATTGCCAAAGTCTCTCTTTCTCTTTTTTTTTTTTGCTGGACGCCTGCCCTCTTACAATTTATTTTTTAGCCAAGTGTGTAAAGCTGAATACGTACAAGTTAAAGAGTGTAAGTTGTGGGCTTACTGTACTTCATTGGGAGTAAATGTGCATGGATGTGGTGCTAATTGAGATAAGCCATTGAATGTGATGGGGTGTGCTGTCATACATATGTACAGTGGTACCTCGCAAGACGAATGCCTCGCAAGACAAAAAACTCGCTAGACGAAAGGGTTTTTTGTTTTTTGAGCTGCTTCGCAAGACGATTTTCCCTATGGGCTTGCTTCGCAAGACGGAAACGTCTTGCAAGTTTGTTTCCTTTTTCTTAACACCGTTAATACAGTTGCGACTTGACTTCGAGGAGCAACTCATAGAACGCGGTGTGGTAGCCTTTTTTGAGGTTTTTAAAGCTTTTTGAGGTTTTTGAAGCTTTTCCAAAACATTCCCGACACCGTGCTTCTCAAGACGACAAAACTCGCGGAACAAATTAATTTCGTCTTGCGAGGCACCACTGTAACTGGTAAGTATTCTGCCTTTGTTGAAACAGGAGCCAACCTTCTGGAGAATTTGAAATCTGTAAAAAGTTAATCCTCTGAGGCCACCAGGACTGACTAGGCCATGCCACACTTGATCTGGTGGTGTCTGACACACAAAAGCTTCAGCCACAATAAAATATGTTGGTAAAAAGGAAAAAGTATAATACGGCTGTTGTTTAGCCGTTTAGTTGTGCCCGACTCTTTGTGACCCCATGGACCAGAGCATGCCAGGCACTCCTGTCTTCCACTGCCTCCCGCAGTTTAGTCAAACTCATGCTGGTAGCTTCGAGAACAGTGTCCAGCCATCTCATCCTCTGTCATCCCCTTCTTGTGCCCTCCATCTTTCCCAACATCAGAGAGTCTTCTCTTCTCATGAGGTGGCCAAAGTATTGGAGCCTCAGCTTCACGATCTGTCCTTCCAGTGAGCACTCAGGGCTGATTTCCTTAAGAATGGATAGGTTTGATCTTCTTGCAGTCCATGGGACTCTCAAGAGTCTCCTCCAGCACCATAATTCAAAAGCATCAATTCTTCGGCGATCAGCCTTCTTTATGGTCCAGCTCTCACTTCCATACACTACCACTGGGAAAACCATAGTTTTAACTATATGGATCTTTGTTGACAAGGTGATGTCTCTGTAACTTCCTTAGTAGGAACTTCTTCTACTCTGCTGGATTTACCTCTGAGTGAGGAACGTCCCAGTGCATCCACCCAAACAGGAGATGGGCAGCATTCCATCAACTCTTCTCTGGCAGCATTCCTGCTGGTGGTAACCAGCAGAACCCCCCCACCCCAAAGCAGGGTGATTTGGGGCAGGGAGCGGCTGAGCATGCAGGATCTGCTGAATATTGTGCAGACTGCTGCTATTGTGTGATGGCAGTGGGCTCAACTGGGCTTTCTTGCTGTCTTAGCCTGGAAGCTAATGCAGCAAAGCAGCATTTTTTACTGCCAGCTCTACAAGACAGTTGAGATTATCATTAAGCAATTACTACAGTGTTTTTCTGCATAGTGTTGACAGGCAACTATGGGTTGGCTAGTTTGTAATAAACATGCAAAATTACGGTATATACTATCTAGCAAGTGAAAAACATGTATAGTTTACTGTATTTTTTGTATGTTCTGTTTGTCTTATTTTTTTTTTGCAGAACTTTGCTTAAAAGTATATTTTCTGTTTATCACTCTATACTTTCGTTTGCTACAGATATTTTTGAAGCCTATTGACAAGCCTCTACAAATATCCAAGGTTGAAGACTGATCTTGAAATCATGGACTGCGGTCCCAAATTTGTTGAAACTCTAAAGAGGATTGGCTATCCAAAGGCAGATTCTCTTAATGGAGAAGACTTTGATTGGCTGTTTGAAACACTGGAAGATAAGTCATTTCTAGAATGGTTTTGTACGACATTGAATGAGAGTCATACCTTATCTGAAGAAGAGCTGCAGTCATTTAATCTGCTCCTTAAATCAGCAAACCCACTATTAGAAGAGGATGCTCTAGATGAAGCGCTGAAGACATGTAAGTCTCTTGAACTTAAAACCAACAGTTGTGATGAAGACAAAGAAGAAAACCTTAAAATATTAGAGGATGAGCTTCAGACCCTTCAAAAAAGGAAACACCTAAAAAGCCGTCGTCGGAACAAGCTTCAATCAGTGGCCTCAGCCAATAACCTTCTGTGCCTGAAGCTGAAAGACACAGGAGAGGAAAAACCTAAAACCCTGAAAGAGGCGCAGGGAATTCTCAATGCCATGAATACAAAGATAAACAACGAGCTGCAGTCTCTTACTCAAAAAATTGGAAAGTTGACCTCTTTCTTTGCTGTTGCATCCAGACAACAAGAATTGGACCCTGCTCCTGTCCTTTTAGCCCAACTTGCCTTAGATAAATACTTGTGTCAAGAAGAGCAAAGCACAGCAGCCCTTACTTTGTATACAAAAAAACAATTTTTCCAAGGTATATCTGAGTTGGTTGAAAGTTCTAATGAAGACAATTTTCAGCTTGTAGATATAAGGAATTCTTTTACTTCTGATGAGAGCAATGATGTATGTGAGGATAGGCAAGAGCTAACCAGGTTGAAGATGGCTTATGTTTGTGCTCGGCATCAGCTGATTCAGCAAGAAGCTAAGAATCTAAGCATGAAATCGGGTCTCCAGTGGGCAGAGGATAATATTTGTTCTTTAAAGAAGGTATGTATTGAAGATGATTATTATTTCACAACCAGACTCTTTGTCACTGTACAGATACTGTATAAAGAGTATGGGGTGTAGCCAACAAAGCCATTGCTCCTGTTCCCTGGAAAGAAAGGAGAAGTTCTGTTGTATGAGCAGAGATTGGTGTGTGAGTGCCATGGCAATTGGACTTTACCCTGTCAATGTGAAGTTGAATCAGTTTTAAGTTTTTAAAAATTCTATTTTAATTTTAACCACCAGGCTATTTTTTTAAAAAAGCAACTTAAATTGGATTTTATATATCTCTTTAATCAGTTTTTAATTAATGAGACTGTAACTAAAATGGCATTACAGGTTTATTGTTGATAGCTATAAAATTATTGAGGTATTGAGCCTTATTAGTATTATTTTCTAGAGAAGTATTCTGTTTGTGTATCTGTCTAATTCCTAAAGTAACGTTTTGAATCTTTTATTTATTATAAAAATTTCTTCCTTTATTAAAGAAGCTCAGTATCTGAATTTGGAACTTGTTAGTGACAGAAGGGAGACAGTAGAAGTGTATGGTTTACAGGATCTGTTTGTTTGTTTGCAGACTCCTGGAAAGGAAAATGTTGAAACCAGAATTTCTAGCCTGAACAGCGACATTTCAAAACTCAAAAAGCACTTGGCTCAAATAAACAATGAAACTCTACCTTTGCTAGTAAAGGAGGATGCAGAGCTATTGAATATGCCTGTGGTGAGGGGTGACTTTGATTTGCAGATTGCTCGACAGGACTACTACATATCAAGACAAGATCAAATTTGTAATCAGTTGATCAAACAGAAGGCATCCTTTGAACTTCTTCAATTGGCTTATGAAATTGAGTTGAGAAAACTTAGGGATAATAGCCGTCTCCTGGAAAATATAGTACAAGATCTGAAACAGAGCAGTAATACTTTGGTGCAGGTACTAGAAACAATGTCAGAGCCATCAATATCCCATCATAATATACCAAGAAACACTATTGATTCCAAAAGATACTACTGCACAGAGGTAAGCAGTTGATTATTGATAGAATTATGAATGTATTAATTGAAGTCTATTGTGGAAAACTAACTAATCCTAAATGTGGAAGTAAGTTCCATTGAAATCAGTGGGTTTTTCAAAAAGATAACCACTCTGAACCAGCATAGTGATTTGAATGTATTGGGTTGGCCTTTGCTGATGATCTTAATTCTTTATACACATAAATGTTCCTGGCCTTAGAATGTTTTCAGCTGCTTCTGGTGTATGGAGGCATGCCTTCTCCCAAGCTTAAGCATTTATGAACAAAATTGAGGTTTTAAGCCTGGATACTTGTATTTAAGCTGATTATCAAATTAGGAAGTCATGCTAACTGAACCTATACAGAATCATCATGCAGAAGCCTATTTAAATAATTGGATTTAACTTATTTTGGGGTTGGGATAACTTATGTGGTTTCTCATATGAATTAAGAATGTGTGCAACTCTAGTATAGCCAAACTTGCAACAATTATTTCCTGTGTAATGGGCTGTATATGAGAGAATTAATTGGACCAACTATGGTCTCATAATTTTGTTATTTTCTGCAACTCCTTTACAGAGTTACAGAGAGAAAACAAAAGCTACTGTTGTGCTGCCATACTTAAATGAACAATCATTTTCTACAAATGAGTTTTACTGAAATAATTGCATTGATCCCCCTTTATCATGTATTCGGGCTGCTTTTGGAAGATTCCTTGTACATCAGCAAATCTTATTTCTTATTTTCAAGGCTGTGTCAACTTCTGGAAGGAAGTAATTCAAAGCAGTTGTTCAGAACATATGAAGGCCTTGAGCAGATGGCTGAAAAATTACATCTAGACACAATGTCAGTGGTTGATCAATTAGCAGTATCTAGCCAAGAACAAATTCTTCTGTCAAAGATGGATGCTGATCTAGGCTCACTTCACAATTCTATGTACTGTGGAGGAGAAAGGGTCTGTCCTTAGTAACCTGGTGAGTAACTGGATAAGGATCCCTTGCGGATCCTTCTCTGATTGTTGTTGTATAGTGTGCTTGATAATACTTATCATTTTTCATATTGAACACCGAGAAATCTGCATGCTATTTGCAGTGGGCCTCCACAAACAAGGTAGACAGAAGTGAATCTTCCTGAAGTTCTGAATAATTACTGACATGAACAGTCTTGCCCAGGTCTGCCCTTTCTGCTGCTTGACCATATTCACTGCCAACAGCTAAGGCTCAGGGTAGTGAGCTCTGGTATATACTCTCTCCCTATGCTAGAACTGGACACATGGCTGTAGGAATAGGGAGTGCAGGATAGCTGGCCAGCACCTTCCACCTCCTCTCTTAAGTTCCAAACTACTCAGCCACCACAGAAGAGAGGTGCTGTCTGTGCTCCAACCCTTGCGGGATCCTTTCTCTGACAACATCCAGCAATGGAACTTGTCATATCATCAAGCTTTCCCATCTTGTCCATGTTTTGATAGGTGCCACAGGATGTGCCTTTTGGCTCTGACCACCTAGCTAGCCAGAAGCTGATTTTTTTGTAGGAGTTGATGCCTTCCGAGAAGACAAAAACATCTGAAGTCCTGCACAGTTTTTCTCTTTTTGAAAACTAATTGGAACCTGCAAGAACTGACCCCTGTGAGTTCTCTACATGAGCTTAAGGGGCTCAGAAGGAAAGGGTTTATGGCAACCACAACTAACAGCTTGGTGACAGCTGAGCCAAAATTCATAGATCCCTAATCTAGGTCATTTAAAGGAGCAAACTTTAAAAATGTATGGCTAGTAGCTGCTGAAATTTGCAAGAAGATAGTGTGGTGTTTTTCTACTTCAACCTGTATTTAGAGTACACATAAACTGATCTTGTTGTTATTGTATTTGTCCCCATATTTAGGAACTGGCTGAGCAGTTTCACCAGCAGGAATTTCTGTTGAATAAACTGAATCTTCTTATTGTGGATCTTCTTGCTGATATAAAGGCTAAGAAGAAGGTTTTGGAGAATGATAAATTACAACAGATGGAAAGAAAACTGTGGGTGTACTTCTTCAAAGATGAAGAATGCTTGAAGAATGCTGTGGAGAGAATGGAACAGCAGGCTAAGACTCAAGCCTTGTCTTAAAGATTAAATTTTAGATATGTGTTTGAAATGTTTTTTGTGTCTTGTACTGAACTTTGAAATGTAACAAATGGAGGAAAACTCAGAAAAAGGCTTTTCCTGCAGCATCAGGAAAGCACAAAGTGTGTGAGGCACTCAGTTACTGAATCAGGCAATTGTGCATCTTAAATAGTTCAAGTACGGAGGGCAAAAATAATATGAGAAATGTCTTCAGAAGACAAGGCCTAATTATTTTAAGTTAACTGAAAACTATCAAGAAACAACCAATGTAACAAACAGAGGGGGAAATCTTATGGTTGATATCCAGCAAAATAACTCTCAGAGTAGACCTGCTAGAATAGTTCATTAATATCAATGGGTCTCCTCTGAGTATGATTTAGTTACATATTAACATACAGTAGCTTGCTACAAGGCTTCCAATATTTATCATACTGTTTTGGATGAGAAAGTTTATCATATTTTATCATACTTTATTTTATGCAAAATATTTTATTTTATGGACAAAAAGCACCAACTCAGAATTGGAAGATAGTTCAATCCTCAGAAAATTGGTCCATTGGCCTTTTCTTTCTTTCTAGAATTAACAATTCATCATTGCACCATTGCTCTTACTATGTAGACCTCATCTTGTATGTATATAAAACATTCCAAGTATGCCTATTTTTGCCTAATGCTTGTATAGCTTACATTACCTACCACAGACTTTACTTCCCTGATGTTCTGTAGAATACCTTACACAAAGACCCCACTGCAGTTAATAGAATTGTTCAAGACTTGGCTACAAGTAAGCTCTAAATGCAGCGGGACTTACTTCTGAGTGGAAATATATAGGAAGCACTGTTAATATACTGTACTTAATGCACAATTAAGGATTGTTGCCTTTAATCTCAATACTTAATTCCCATAAACCCTATAGAGTTTAATATTACTTCCAAGTTAAGTGCTTTTTCAATTAGACTGTAAATGTTGATATGATTGAAGTATGATTTAGTGTTCTAAGTAAACCACTAAACTACCTTGGGCTAGTCACACTTCTCTGAAGTCTCTCAGCCTCACTCACCTCACAGAGTGTTTGTTGTGGGGGAGGAAGGAAAAGGAGATTGTTAGCTGCTTTGAGACTCCTTAAGGGGAGTGAAAGGCGGGGTATCAAGTCCAAAAGTTTTCAACTTTTTTGAATCCATGGCTCCCTTGACCAACTATATTCTTTCTGCGGCACCCCTGTGGGGCTCAGGAGCCCAGTTATGTCACCCCTTGCCTGTAGAGCTACCCTTTCTTGAATACCCTCCCTTGTGAAGTGTTCCCTCAGCCTCTCCTTGGGAGTCCTCTGGACAGTCATTGCTGCCGCCTCTGGTCTCTGAGCTGCCCCACACCACCCCAAAGAGAGGTGCCCCCGGACACTGCCCCACAAGGGCCTGGGACTTGTCTGTCCATTACCAAAGCAAGGGTTGGCAGACTGGCTGGTTGGGCTCCCTCGCCCACTTGCTTGCTTACTCCGAGGCGGCCTCAGCTCCTGGTAACCAGCCCAAGAGGTAGCATTTGCCAGGGGAGCTTGTAGCCAGGGCTGCTGCAATAAACAAGCCTTTGTGCAAGCCTTTGGGAGGCCGAGGCATGAGAGGGCATCTGAGGAGGGAAGGAAAGAGGGACAGAGGCTAATGTTGCCCACGGCATCCCTGACCATCATTCAAGGCACCCCAGGGTGCCATGGCACACTGGTTGAAAACCACTGGCTTAGGTCATTAAGCCCTAATTTGTCAGAATGTTTTACATTTTAAATTATAACCCACATTGGATCTGTTGTTAATGTTGTATCTGACCTTCACCATAAGATCCCAAACAAATTGCTTGCTGCTGAAATACTCCCATTTTTTTTGCTGTTTGGGGAATACAATTAAGGAAATGAGATTTCAGTATCTATCCATCCCACCATAAATATTGGGCCATCAAAAATCACACATTTATGCTGCAGTGAACACAACACTATTGCCAAGCAACATGACCAGCCAAATCCCTCAAGCATGTTATTCCTGGAAAAACTGATTTGTCTACAAATAAGGAACTTAGTATTTAAATGCCACTGTGCTCTTTTAAAAAAGTCTTAGGCCACCTCAAATCATGTTTGTATTACCTAGTGTCTGTTTCGAATGACATGTGCCACATCTGAAAGCAGCACCTGAAAATTTAGGGAAGTTTTTAATGTTTGATCTTTTTTGTGTTGTTAATATTCTGTTGGGAGCCGCCGAGTGGCTGGGGAAACCCAGCCCGATGGGTGGGGTATGTACAAACAAACAAACAAATAAATGATGATGATGATGATGATAATAATAATAATAATAAACAACTTGGTTATTTATGCCAACCTGGGCAGAGCATTTCCCAATACAAGACCATAGATAAAATGGCCCTGTGGCTTCATTTGAGCTACAGCCCTGTTGTGGAATAAAACTACTTTGACCTAAAAACTGAAAACATGATGGGAAACTTTGGAACCCATGCAGAATGCTTTACTAAAAACAGTGCAATTCCATGTGCTTGTGGCCTCTTGTTCTCTATAAACGTGCAATTTGCTCAATTGGCTCCCCCTCCCCTTTCAAATTTGATAAATAGTAAAACATTTTACTAATGTTATACCTACTTGTTTTTATGTTTCGCTTTTTTACTTTGTATTTCACTGACCAAAGCACACTTGGTGAGAAGGTGGGATAGAAATCTAATTAATAAAGTTTACTCGCAGTTGAGCCCCATTATGCTCCATAGTTCTTACTCTCCGGATCTTAGGATCCCTTCCAGAAACAGCAGGGCCTTTAAAGACTAGAAGTCAGAATATCATTTCTATTCTGTGATATTAAGCAGGGTCGGGCGGACTTCAGGCTTACAGGATCTTTTGTTTTGTTTTGTAGACTAGAACTGTATTCTGGTTCCCAAAAAATAAAAAGAATCCTGAGTCCAAAACCAAAAGTGATGGGAGCTCACAGCTTTTTCACCCAATAAACCCAAACTTTCTTTAGTACAAATTAGGGCGGGAGCGGGGGTGCTGTTGCTGCTGCTGTCCGAAAGAATCCTTGCTGCAGGTGTACTAACAGATCCCGATTTACCACCTGAATGACCAGAATTCCAGGCAGGTTTGTAACCCAATGATCCCACTTTCCTAGCGAACGCCTGTCTTAAAATCCACGCGTGAGAAGCGAGCAAAGGCGAACAGGCTCTCAGCCCCTCCTTCCCGGCCAAGCTGCACCGGAAGGGGAAGGACCGAGGCGCCGGCGCCGGCGGCTTTGCTTGCCCTGGATCCGCCTTAAGCAGGGAAGGACGTGGGTTCAGGAGATGCTGCTCCGGGCTGGGGTTCGCCTTCGCGCGGCCAGCCTCCGACTGTGGCTGCGGGGCGCCGGGAGATGTCACGCGCTCCTGCTTACCGAGAGGCGTCCTGGAGTCCTGGAGCCGGGCCGGCGCTCCGTGGCTGCCCTATGCAGGCCGCGACTCGGGTGGCGTGGAGCCCCGGGATCTCTCTCCGCGATCGTGGGGAGCGAGCAGGTGCTGCCGCATGGACCGCTTCTTTTTCTAGTGGTAGTGTCCCGGGAGTGCTTGCTTTAATTCTGAAGGGGGTCAGGTGACAGGCGGTGGATAGTTTACTCATCAGATGCACTATTAGCCAAGCGCCATATGATTTAGTGAATGGTGCATGTAGATATAACAATCTGAAACTCAAAATCCATGTTTATCTGTTTTTGTTGTAGGTTCCATCTCTCCACGTGCAGCCTCTTCGCTGCTTCAGCACATCCTCCCTGCATGAAGATTCTGAACATGGCAGATTAGTTTATCGTGGAAATTTGGCAAAGGCAGTGCTAGGTGAGTATATTAGGGTTAGGTGTCTTGTTATGTTTTGGTTCTAAACACTCTGAAGTATTTAAAATTACTTTTCACTGGGAACTGGGACCCTCTGTCCACCAGAAACTTGTGTAAAGGACGTAAGTTGGAATGCCTTGCTTCTATGGCAGTTGAGGATTTGCCAAGTGAATTTGATAGCTGGTGTGTGTGTGTGTGTGTGTGTGTCAACAGTGCAGCACTGCTTCTCCTGGCCTTTGATATGCCTAGTGGCAATTTGTCACTCTCTGTAGCCCAGGGCTCCATAATAATAATAATAATAATAATAATAATAATAATAATAATATATTTATACCCCGCCCATCTGGCTGGTTTTCCCCAGCCACTCTGGGTGGCTCCCAACAGAATATTAAAAACATGATAAAACATCAAACATTTAAAACTTCCTTAAACACAGTACATTTAAAGCACATTCTGCCCCCCTCCCCCAAAGTCATAAGAACTGTAGTTTGTTAAGGGCGCTGGGAATCGTAGCTCTGTGAGGGTTAAACAACAGTCATATGATTTTTTTGGGGGGGGGGAGGGGAAGTGTCTAACACAGTAATAGCTGCCCTTCTGAGGATGTATGGGCTCACAAGCTATTTCCAGTCTCTAAATATTAATTTGTCTTTCTCTTGCAGGCGTGAAGTTCTTCTCTTACTCTACCAGCATGTTTAGTCTTAGCATGATACCTATTATCTTCTACAAAACTGGTGTGCCTGTAGACAACCTTCCCTTGCAAGTTATGTTTTACAGTGTTATAGGATTCTTTACATTTGTAACTCCAGTTACTCTGCATTTGATTACAAAGGGCTACATCATCCGCCTGTACCACAAGCCTGAAACAGACACGTACACAGCTATTACGTATAATGCTATTTTGGCGGAAAAGAAAACTGTGTTCCATCAAAAGGATGTGAAGGTTCCCGACATCAGCAAGATGTTCACAACATTTTATGCTAAAACGAAATCAATGCTTGTTAACCCTATGCTTTTTCAATATCCTCAAGACTATAATCACCTTATGGGTTATGACAAGCCCTTCACCTTTGACTTCGAAGAATCAAAAGAATCCAGCGAAGGGAAATAGATGTTTCTGAATAAAATGTGTGTATACGTGCAGACTATTCAAAATTCTTTTATAGAATCCAGGATGCAAAATCCCATAGCAGCTTTTTCTTCATTAAAAGTAGTTTGTTCAGTAAAAGGAACACAGATTAAAATGAATAAAACTGGAGTTTGTTACAAAAGGAATTTACATAAACGGGATGATGTTTGGTCGATCTTTGATTAGCTTAAGGCTTGCTTTTAATCATACGAAAGAGTCTTTTGGTCATCTTTGGAAAATCAAATTAAGCCAACATACGCATGAACTCCTTACAACCTCACACAGCTCTTTTACCCTTTATTCAAGCAGGGAAACAATTCAGGAAGCCGCATTAATCGTGGTTTTCCATTTCCAATGTAACAGGAATGACAGTTAATGACTTTCCAAACAAGCCAGGATTCAGAACCATTAACTATAGCTTCCTGTGCAGATGGAACAGTTCTTAAATTGCTGGGAGAGTGCATGGTTAAGAAAGGGTTAAGATTTTTTTGTAGCTGAAAACCTCTTTGGTCTCAAATGTTAAGAATTGAATATCCTGAAAAGAGTCTGTATCAAGGAATGCACAAGTGTTTGCTAAGATGTCTCTACCTATATAAACCACTAGAGGGACTCATAACTGTAGCATTGGTGAAGCCTTTGAAAATAGCAGCATCTTTAAAGACTCGACATAAACAAGCATTACAGGCAGCTGTATAATAATTCCAAGAAGTGGAACTATTAACACAATATTTTTCATTTTATTTTGTAGAATTATAAAATGCAGCCAAATGCTACTGATGTGTTATGCAATAAAAGACAAAGAAACGTACTGAATATGCTAAAAATCCCAACAATTTATATGATACTGTATTACGGTTAATATTCCATAAATTTATGGGGTCACAAATTAGGAAAAGTCTTAAATTTATTCAGCTGCTACCTAAGTATCAAGATGCTAGGTGCTTGTCTAACTTCAAGTAACTGATTTTAGAGAGTTTGACCTGCAGCACTGAAGGCCCAGTTTTCTAGTACAAACTAAGCACCCCTGGGGCATGTGATACTCTCAGCAGTGGGCCTTGTGAGCAGTGCAGTTGCTGGGCAGGGTTATATCGGACAAGGTGGTCCCTTGGATAATTTGGTCCCAAGTTGCTTATGTCTGTAAATACCTAAAACCAAAGTCTTGAACACTGGTTGGTACCATACTGACAGCCAGTAAATCTCCCTCAGCAGACGTGTTACATAGTGTTGGTGTCAGGGACTGGCATGACACTGACGAGTGTGCACTGGGGGAAGGAGGGCTGTGATTTGTGGGAAACTGGACCAGCCAGGAGGCCAGAGGCAGGGGCAGCTTCTAGAGCAGGAAGAAACAGGTCAGACAAGAGCCAGGCGCTTCCCCACCTTCTCCTGCACCACTGTCTCTCAGAACCAGGAAGGGATTGAAAAGGGCTGAATAGAGGAAGTTGCCACAAAGGCACAGACTGCAGCTGTGTGTACATAGCCCTTTGGGGGAAGGTATATAAACTGGTGGAGGGGGAGTGGTCCCTTGCATAGAGTGGGAACAGCTGCCAAGATGTTAGAACTGGTGTGTGTAGGAATCCAGAGCTGTAGAAGTGACTATTATCTTTTGCACTAAAGAGTTAACTATATCTGCCTGTGCATTCCTTTGGCTGGGAAATGCCCTTGACAGTTGATGGGATGTTCCAGTCAACAACTTAGCTGCTGCACTCCAGCTGCAACTTCTAAACTAAGCCTGGAGGAAGCCCTACATTGAGCACATTGAAGGAATATCATCTTGAGGTTGCCACAACGGCCAAGCTATCTCAGTCCAGGAATGGCTATAGGTCTCTTACTAACTGACCTGCTACAGAGACCTGCTAAAGGGCAGGAAACTGCAAGAAGGAAGTAGCAGGAGGGAATGACTCATGGTTGTCTGTATACTAATGCACAGAGTATGGGAAACAAGCAAGATGAATTGGAGCTGTTAATGCAGGATGGCAAATATGACCTACCGTAATAGGCATTACTGAAACCTGATGGGATGAGACTCATGATAGGAATGTGTCATAGACTTATAGGGGGTCTTTCTGGTGGGCACCAGTGTCTACTCGGATAACTAGTTTTCTGGGATTTCTTATAAGTTAATAGTGTAGTTATGCCAATTAATGCGTATAAGGAAATTCCATGTATCCCAGTAGCAGACCTCCATTTTGGGGCCCCTGAAGCTTGAGTGGTCATGGGGCCCCTTCACAACCAGCAGCGAGGTCTGGGTAACCCCTGCTTTCTTCTTCTTCAATGGGGTTGTTCCACAACAGATCAGAACACCTTTACAACATCTGTGCTACTGACTCTCAAACTTTGGGATTGTAAAAATATATGCAACAAAAAATTGATCCATCTGAATCATGCAAGTCAAATTGAGTCTACTTGACCCCCCAAAATTAAGCAACGTGGACCCCTTCAGGACTAGGGACCCTGAAGCTTAAGATTAATTTGTTCCATAGTAGATCCACCCCTGGTGTATCCTAACTATATCAAAGTCCAGAGATTTCATAGCAATAATATGTTCTACACTCTACAGGAAATGTTTCTATGCAGGTGCTCTGGGAAAACAATATTTTCATACATAGCATGTACCTGAATAAATAGGGACGCGGTTGGCACTGTGGTCTAAAACCGCTGAGCCTCTTGGGCTTGCTGATCAGAAGGTCGGCGGTTCGAATCATCACGACGGGGTGAGCTCCCGTTGCTTGGTCCCAGCTCCTGCCCAACCTAGTTTGAAAGTATGTCAAAGTGAAGTAGGATAAATTAGCGTACTGCTCTGGGGGAAGGTAAATGGCGTTTCCGGTGCACTGCTCAGGTTTCGCCAGAAAGTTTGCTTTGTCACGCTGGCCACATGGACCCGGACAGCTGTCTGAGACAAATGCCGGCTTCCCTCGGCGCTAATAGAGTGAGAGGAGCGCCGCAACCCGAGTCATCCGCGAAACTGCGACCTAATGGTCGGGGTACCTTTACCTTTAACCCGTACTCAGATGCGTGAGGAAATTATTTTCTGAATTTCTTTTTAACCATAACAGTTTTCACCACTACTTACCTTTTATCAACACACACACACACACACATACAACACACAGAAAGAGAAGAGAAAAGAAAGAAGAGAGAGAGAGAGAGAGAGAGAGAGGTGTCGTTCCGCTTTATTAGTTGTGAAATGCCAAATCACTGCATTTTTATTGTCTGGCATTTGGAGGACACAACAGAAGCAGTACAAAAAAAACAACTCTTGAATAACTGTGATATGAAATATTATAGGATTTCAGCCGCAAGCTATAGGACAGGCACAGATGGGAGGGGAAGCAATATGTGCACCCCAAAACCTTTGCAGGCACTGAAAGCAGGGTTATGCATGAACACCCTGGTACCATCATGAGCTCAGATGATCACGAGCAACTTCCTCATTTGATATTGTGAGACAAACACGATGGTTCACTAGTTTTCTCTTTTGTCGTTTTAGAATTCACTTCTTGAAATGTAGTTTTGTCCAAACTAGTTTAGGTATAGATAATCAGGCAAAATTAGGGTATTCTTCTTAAGCAACTGGGAAAGGCTTTCAAGCATTTGAAGCGCACCTTCTGTAGAAGCACAATTAAAAACGACAAGGGAAAAAAAGCCCCTGAAATCACATGTCTGAGGGTGGGTGACTAAGCGTAACTTTCTTCCTCTTAAGTAAAAATGATGCAATACCGTCTTGTATCCTTCTATGTGACCTGCTCTCGAAATGGTTTACAGACACAGAAACATGTTCCTGCTTGTTATGATTCTCTCCGTTTGTGGATTTACTGTGGCAGAAGAAAGACACCTGCTTTGCAGTTCAGACGACGTAGACATTTTATATTCCAACTGCAGTAAGTAAAGTATCAGATGGTTCTAATTTCCAATAGCGTTTGTGAAATAATTAGGATTACTTCCCCCTTTCCTCTGATTAAAGCTCCAGGTGTTTTCATTAGGATTGCACACGTTAATTTCTGTCTCCAATTTCCATTTCTTTAAGACAGACCAAAAAATTGAGTGTGTTGCAAATAATGCTGGAGAACAACATGAATAATTGCTGGCTTTTACAGTTTTCAAGGGAGATCAGCCATTGCTTCTCGGTCCTAATATACTTTGGTGCTATCGGAGATATTTCACACTTGGCACATACTAGCTGAGGGCCAAATTCAGTTGTTTTCATGCATCTCACATCTCTTTAAACATTTGCAAATAGCAGTTCTGTGGGGGTAGGGGTGTGATTTGAATGTGACCAGGCCAGGATGTGTGCATTACTCTTTCTACCTGACTCCATTTCCCCCCAACAGAAGTCACACACACTGTTATTTGCTACATTATGGAAAAAGTTATGTGTGCATGCTAATGTGACAAGCAGCAGTTTAAGGGAAGCAATTTTCACAGGGGAAAGTGTGTATGTGTATAAAGGTTTACACCCCTCGCCCTGCATATCAGTGCTGATCTGGGTCGGCCTCCCCTGAGGTGGCTGCCATTTCTAAAACTTCACACAGATCAGAGATGCTGGTGCCTCACCCGGTTTGTTTGTCCCTCTGTGAGCCTGTAGACAGCTTCCTCATTCCTCATTCACCATCTTAACACTTTGTAACGTATTATCGTTGGGCCTCTGCCAATCTCTTTCCCGGAAACATCTTCCTCTTTTATGACTTTCACTTGGCCTTGATGAAGATATCATGCTACTGCTATTGTGTGTCCAGGTGGAGACCCCCAGCCCAGAGAGACGACCAGAAGGAATAATGACTCGTGACAAAGTGTTATGGAATAAAAATTGGCCACAACTTTATTAAACCTTTCAGATGTAGGAAGACCTTGGCTTAGGCATTGGGCGTGTATCTCTCCCAGCCCCACCAGCCGGGGGAACTGGGGCTCCTCATGGTGAATGGGATATGGGAGGGTGCACAGCAAGATGCTTGTGTATGCTGGCAGCCCACCCCATATCCCTGCAAGGTAGGGAAGTTCACTGACAACCTTTCAGTGTATGGCCAGTGACTCCCATATACAAACCCCTTTAAGAGGGGACCCTGGAATTGCTGCCCTGGGGGGGGAGGTTGTGAATTCACCCCCCCCCATTAAGGGAAGATAGACTAAAGGATTCCGCGGTTGCTGTCAGCTCCGCCTCCTATTTAAGCAACTGGCCCCACTTCCCTGTGGTGCTGATTGGCTGAGGTTAGGCGGGAACCTCCAATGATTAGCACAGGGAGGGAGGCCAGCCCAAACAGCTGGTGGGTCCCATATGACCAAGGTGCTGTGTGTGGTCCCACAAAGGGCACCCACAAAGGAAGGTGTGAGCGCTCATTGTTTAGAAAGTACAGGTGGTTAGCTAAAGGAGTGCTTAAAAATATTTATGTGGATAACCATAAAAGGGTGGCTTTACTGTATATCCAAGTGCATCACCACAGATCAATGGATAAAGTAGCACAATGCAACGTGGGTGTCTGTAGTACTGTACTCCAGTGTGATCAGGATGAAAAGCCAGAGAGACAGAGCAATGCTTGATTTCTGTTTGAATCCAAGGCTGCTGCGATGCGAAAGGCAAGACCCTTTTGGAGTGGTTTTTTTTTTTAATTTTAAACAAAACTGATTCCTTATTTATTTTATAAGCTTTTTAGATTTTGAATATACAGCAGACATTTTCCAAAAAAACCAAACAAAAACTCTTCCCTCAGGGAAAACACTGTACAGGCTTCCTCTTATCACATGATTTTGGAAAACTTTATGTGCTTTGATTTGACCGTTTTGAAGTGTTAATGCTGCGAACCCCTCCATCATAGTCTCAGTTGTATCTCTCTCCCCCCCCTCTCTCTGGTGTCCTTCATTCCAAAGGAATCTCACACCTCCAAGAGATTGGGGTGACGTGCAACAATATTAACTTCAAAGGTGAAGTGTTTTGCATTTTGCATTTCAGCAGAGGCTCCAATAAGGAAGTTCAAAGGTTTGTGCCATTTTGTAATGAGATTTGCAACATTATTAAACTTACTTTGTTACGCAGGTAGAGGCCTTCCAACAAAAGACTTCTCCTTTACAGTAGAGCCGTGTTCACTAAAGGGTAATAGAAAATGGCGGGGAACTCTTTTCTGGATTCCAAGTAAGATATATTCCTATTTCAAGTAACACCAAGCTCATTGCTTTACATTACTACGAGATGCACTTCAACCTGAAAGTTTTATTCATTGCTGGGCTGTATTAACTGGTGGCTTTGTACTTATGGGAGGTTGTTCCACGGAGGTGGGGTGGGGATCTGATTGCCATATCCCATACTGCTTGGGAGGGGTGTGTCTCCCAATCTCCAGAAACACTTTTTGGGAAGGGGTGCTAAGTTGAGGCAGGGTGTATTAGTGAAAATCACGTGCCCTGCCTTGCACTAGTGATACAACCTGTTCCATAGAACTCCAGAAGGGATGCTGTTAAAACTTGGGGAGAAGAAGAAGTTTATCACAGCTGCTCAAGCAGATGTTGAAAATCAACTCACAAATGAAGCCATTTTGTCCTTAGGCTTTTAGAGAAGATTTTATCATCATGTGGAGGTGGGAAGGAGAGACATTTGGCATGAGCCAATCCCACTTCCATTGGTTTGTCCATACATTTCACATAATTTACTCTGGATGTATTCTTATTTTGTTTGTTCGTTTAGAGGTTCTCTGTAATACTGCAAGCAAAGCAACCTTTTGTTGTTTTCTGGACATTTTATATTTGCTAATGCTTCTGAGAGCCAGGTATCCTTAGTGAATTTTCAATCCTGCGTTTGCTACTGAAAAGGGAATATGGGAAACAATTACACAATGGGAGAATGAAGCTTTTATCTGTTCCAAGCTCTGTGTGTGTGAAGAGGTGGAAGTATGAGGATAATAGTCTACAATTCATGTCTCATTCATCTAGATTATTACACAAAATACATTGTAAAAATTCCTTTGGATTTGAATGAGCTCAGAAAGTGTTCTAGATCACAAGTGTATTTTTGCCTTCCCTGAGAAAGCCATTGAATGTTGTCAAGATTGTAACTGAAATTGTTGCCATGTAACATGCTTTATTGTGTTAATTTTTATAGGGGCTGATTTAACCATTTTGAGAGCACATGTAAACATATGGTCTAAAGGGTTTGAAGCCGTAAAATGGAAAGGTACCCTTTGCGAAGGTGTGGATGATGGCTATACATTTTGTGGAGCTCTGAAGGGAGGTAAGAGTACATTATGGCACCTTTAGCTGACATATAGGGTCTGCATTTGCTCTTAGCTTGAAATCCTGCACAGGCTTTTCTAAGTCTCCTGTTTGTTTGTTTGTTTGTTTGTTTGCTAAAGGTATTTGGACAGTTGTGTGTCCAAAAACTGGGACACATGCAGAAGACATGCAAAATCTTACAGGGACGAGAGTAGGTCTTACATGGGGCCATCACTTTTTCCCTCCATCACACTTTTCTAGATCTAGCCGGATCATAGCAGAACAACAGTTGTGACTTTTAAGTCTTTGCTACCAGGCTAAACTAATGATATAGTCAGTGGTAAAGTGGGGAAAGGGAGCATGTGCTTTGCCCACAGAAGGGCCCATGTTCAATTCCTGGCATCTCCAGGTATGGCTGGGAGGTTCTCCTGTCTGAAACCATGGAGAGCTACAGTCAGTGAGTGTAAGCAGTACTGAGCTAGAGGGGTCAATGTTTTGATTCAGTGTAAGGCAGCCTCTCCTCATACAGGCTACTTCAACTGATTCTCATCCCAGCCTTACTCTTCCATCAATGACTTCCATAGGGCTAAACCAGTATTGCACTAATTGCTATGTACAAGGGTAGTTCTATGTTAGCAAACATGCACCCACAGCACTGTGCTAGGGCACATTTTCAGTTCATGTGGGATGCCATTAATACCATAGCAACTGGCCTCTGGAAAGTTGAGGCGTGGCCCCTCTCACTACTGGCTATTTTTGCTTTTTGAAAGGAAACTCTGGGACTTGGGAGACTTAGGGAAGTTAAACAGATTACCCCCCCCCCAACAAAAAAGGGTAAAACTGAAGATGTGTCAGGAGACAGGATTCTTTCAAGAAACAGTAAATTTATATATTAAATTCAGTGGATGTTACAGGTTTCTAAACAAGATGGAAAATGTGCAGCTTATATTTACTTCAGTTCCTTAAACCAAATTGTAGAGGTGTTACAGTTTAGGCCTTAAAACTTAGGTTCTGAAACAAGGTGGTACTTTCTTTCAGTTTTCCAATATTCTATAAATCTCACTTCTGAGGCTCCTCTATTAGATGCTACCCCTCTACATTTGTTCTAGAAATCCCACCCACTGAAGAAATGTGTAAACTTCTTAAGGTACAGATACAGTATTTGTATAATTGTAATTTTTTTCAGCTTGTAAACCACATTGTGTATATAGAAAGGCAGTATACAAATGAAAAGTGAAATTAAAAGTGAAATGAAAGAATAATGGGATAATGTTGTTTTTGTCATGCTCAAGTTCTTGATGATTGTTCTTCTGCAGAGACAATAAACACAACTGTGAGAATCAGTGGTAACGAGCCAACATATGAAGAGGTACTTTATGAATCAAAACTTGATAATATAAAAGTATTATGTATTATTATTATTATTAATTAAATTTCTATACTATCCTTTATCTGAGGATCACCGAGTGGTTTACAATATAAAAATATAAGAATAAATAGCATAGTAACAAACAAAACAATACTGCCCCCAAGTTCAAAAGGCCATAGATTTGACTCATTAGAGTCAAAGGTCCGGGAGAAGATATGTAATGAAGGCACCAGGAGAGCCTCTCTCTTGAATGGAGTGGCTAACTTGGTGTTATGTATAGGGTGTGTCATTTTATGGGGTGAAACTTAATTTTTTGCAATTCTTTTCTGTGAGGGGTCTTAAAAATATGTTTTTGGGTGTGAGGAATTTAATTCTGCTATTATTTTTGTGATTAGACAACATTTAGCAGTGCTCATGGTTTGTTCCTCTCCAGATAAACCACAAATGGAAACCAAGCTTTGTTCTTAGCTTACAACTTGTGTTTTGTTTAAGATCGGGGTCACACATAACTCCATGGTTTATTCCCAAGGGAGGAGGGAAGTGAGTACAATTAATCAGCATGCACCAGCACAATGGTTAATTCACAGTAAACTATAGTTTATTTTAGACTATGTCTTGCCATGACTTGCAAACAGATCACAGCATGCAGTATGGCATCCACCAACTTCTTGAATAGCTTTCTGCTTCAGATTACAGAAACAACTGTTGGCTTGCTGGCGAGCCCATCCTTTTGCGGATGGAGGCTGCTTTCCATTGACATGAATGAACAGTTTGCTTGCCTGGGAGTGTCACATGTGCAGATGAATACACACAGGGCTTGGTTTAACTTGCCAAGGACTATATTGTGTGCAACCACTTTTATGAATACTCTGATATGTCAATACTGTGTTACCTAACATTCTGGGAATTTTTTCAAAAAGACAGAAACTAGTAAGTACCATATTTTTCGCTCTATAAGAGGCACCAGACCACAAGACGCACCTAGTTTTGGGAGGAGGAAAACAAGAAAAAAATAATTCTGAATCTCAGAAGCCAGAACAGCAAGAGGGATCACTGCACAGTGAAAACAGCAATCCCTCTTGCTGTTCTGGCTTCTGTGATAGCTGCGCAGCCTGCATTCGCTCCATAAGACGCACACACATTTTCCCTTACTTTTTAGGAGGGAAAAAGTGAGTCTTATAGAGCAAAAAATATGGTAATAATACAAATGCTTGTTGACGCATTGGACCACTGACTCACTATTCCGGAATCCCCTGAAATATCAACTTGAGGCAACTTCAGCAGATAGTTCTAAACTAGCCCTCAGCTCCAATGAAATCGCTGGGACTTAAGAATGCACAATATAAGCACCTTTCACAATTACAAATTAACTCATTTTCTTTCTTTTAGGGAGAATACACAATTGTTGTAAAAGCATTCGCTGGTCATCACAAGGAGCTGATAGCTTGCCTGAATTACACTATCATCATTAAACAGCCACTTTCAAACTAAAGAAGTTCTTCTCAACCATTTCACAGCACAAGAGCTATTTTCCAGAGAGCAGTGGAATCAAATCTAGTCACAGAAATAATCAGCTGAAAGGTTCTGGTTTTCCAGGACTGTTGTCTGAAAAATTAGAAGATGAAAGCAAATGTTCATTTCTATCACTGCTGTTGCTAAAGGCTGGTTCTGTGTGTGTGACATTTACACATATGCACACACACCATATGAGTACACACATCTGTGTACTCCTTGAGCAGCAACTGGTTGCTTTCATAATTTACTGAACATTTTTGGTATGTGATGAAAAGTACTGCCGTGACTGCCTTTTCCTTCTTGTTATCTTCCCCACATCACTCTCTGCTAATTCACCAACAGCTTGTATAAAAGCAAGTATAAATGCAGGAGGCCACAGGACTAAGCTTTGGGCTTAGCACACCCATTTTGCTTTTCACTGCCCTTAGAACTGCAACATAAGCCAAGGTGCATGTACAATGTCCACACAACATGGTCAGGTGATCTGTGTGTCATACTGCATTTTGATTGGATCATCTATTTTAACTGCTTTGAGACTCTACTGACAGGCTGCACACACACTATACAATTAAAGCCCCCCCCCCAAAGCAGCTTAGGAACCGTTGGAAATATCACAGGTTTCCCTAGGGTCATGATGCCTCTTGCACATCCTGCAAAGCTTATGATGTCACTTGCTGAATTTCAGATGCCAGCCATTCTGAGCAATTCAGATTTTGTGGCCAAAACTGAATGAGGAATCATTAACAAAGGATCCATTGCAGAGAACAATACATTTGTGTTTGATGAACAGCAGCAACAAAGCACATTGCGGTAAGGGAGCGTATAGAAAATGGCGACATCACACCCTGTTCCACTTACCGCTTTCCATGAGGATGAGAAAGCCAAGGCTGGTGCTTAATTTCACTTTTCAATGCTTCCTTTGTTACACTTCAGAAGAAACGGAACAAAAGAGCATTGTCTCAATGAACAAGGAATTATTGATGTTCCCTGTGCATCATCTAGCATCACAGTCTCTGCTGCAACTGTGGGTATTCCTTTTTTCACATTAATATGTCACAGCCAGGTGGTTTCTAGTGAAAGAACTCTTAAGGAATGCCGGAGTTCCTTTGAGGAGACAACAAAGAGGCTTGTGACAATGAACAGATTTATTGTGGCATAAGCTTTTGTGGATGAGAGCCCACTTCATCAGATGCCTGAAGTATTATCCTCAGCTGACAGATGTACTCATAAACAGACGCAAGCATAGAGCAAACAAATATGAGCAGTGAGTTCCAAAGACCATGGAGACCAGAGGTACAGTCTGTTACATTTCAACACAAAGCTGAAATTTATACAAGAGAAGAGAAGTCTTTGGCAATACCTTTTGCCGTATATAACATTTTAAAAAACCCCTCACACATATATACCATAGAAACAGTACCCAAAGCAACTAGATAGATGTTCATTTTGTATGTTTTTAAACCTGGAAAAGATTGCCAAAATAAAAATACCTTCCATTGTTTCTGGAAAGTACAGATAGTGGATGCCTCTTGTACCTTACCAGGGGTGCTGTTCCACCAATACAGCCATAAGTGAATACAATAAAATCCATTTGTAAATTCTACCGGAGTCACGATTTGATGTTCTTTTTCAGAATAATGGTGATGTGAATTTTGTTGCAAACTAGAAACAGAATGCCTGGGAGACTCCTGTTCATTTTTAATGCAGCCATTTCAATGTCCTATTTTGATGCCCATTTCTTATTTTGCATAAAGATTGGTCTGTGTGCCCAGAACAGAATACTGAAGGACATGCTTGTCAGGTGACTTATTCCCAGGGCGGTTTGCAAAGTTATGAATGAAATAATAAAATGTGACATCCAAAATATAGAATATGTTTGGAAAACAGCAATCATAAGCAGCATAAAACAGACAAGACAATAAGAAATAATAACAATGGAGATAAAGTATTTTCTTAGCACCGAGAAAGGTAACCTTGTGGGGCCACATGAGCCTCCCTGAAGAGAAAGTTCTGCATAAAGGATGACATGACTGAAAATAGTCCTAATTGCCACGGGTCACCTCAAAAGGCGGAAACAATTGGAGGAAAGCATTGACAGACGAACCTGAGTGCATAGGGAGGTCAGTATGAAAGCAGGCACACACCCGTTGGAGAATGAGACCTGATGTTAGGGCAGGTACTATAAGAAGCTGTAACAGTGCTGCTACTACAGTGCAGTGGGTATCAGCACAGAGCTGGCATCTGGGTTTGTTGCAGTGGCTCTTCACTGGGTTTATGTGACTGTAAAAGAGACTGGGTAACCATGAGTAATGCAGCTCGCTCTCTGGACTGTGTTCAGACAATGGTGATGCACACACCCCTCTTCACTCTGTATTCAGGGCGTCTCAACTGCTGCTTCGGACACAGTTAGCTACCACCAGTTTCCATCTCATATCCATCCCCTCATTTCTTCTGAAATGCTGCATTTTGATGCATCCCCCCCCAACCACTTCGATCTGAACCAAGAAGAGGAACAACCTAGCTGTTTTCAAAGCTGGCAATGTGGGCACAGCCAATATTCCTGGCAGTGAAGTTGCAATTTGCTCTGTAGCCACTAGGCTGTGGTGTGTTTCACTGAAATGAAGCTACGCTCACAATTTTACTAACTCTCAAGCATGCATGGCTAATTTAAGGAAATTCATTTGCAAACTTGACTCCCAATACACAACTTAACAAACCAACATGGGGACTGTGGGTGATGCTACATCCAATCATGTTTGCTTAGAGAGGTTAGTTCTATTATTCTAGCCACATGATACATAAATAAAAGAAGAAGTAGGTGCACATCTTCCATGGTAAGTGAAAAAGACACTCAATAGTATGGCAGGAAACCAGCCAAAGGAACTTCAGCCATTATTGCCCACTCTAAGAATTATTTTCCCTTAGGCATTCATGGTGTGTAGTGTTCAAAACATATATTTCTCATCAGTAAAGGAGCACACATATTCACAAAGTGTCAAAAAATGTATATCACATTTTTATTACTCATGTTACCAAAACATCAACCATTTTCAAAAACATTTAAATTAATCCAAATCGACAGACCTAGCTCTTGGGATAGCTAGCTCATACGGGGACAGCAAAAGAGGTGACGTTGTCAGGTGAATTTGAGATTTAGGTGCACATTCTGGACATGCTATTAATCTGCACCCACAGAAAGAAAATATGTATTGTACTTACAGTTGAAGCATCAGTTAGTTTCATGTATCAGAGTGTTTTCTGTCAAGAACAACAGCAAAAGAAACCACCAGTCGCTGATGTCATCAAATGCATGGGGCTCCTTACAGGCTCATGTCACTCCAATGTTCTTGGTAGAGTTATGTGACAGGTGCTTGTATTTTCAATGCGTTTCACTCCTGGGTAAAAATACACTTCACTCAGTTGTGGGTCACACAGGGTGAATGGTTCCAAATGTAAGGGGAAAGGTGCTGGGAGTCTGGCTTGCCTTTGAACTCGGGGAGTTAATCAGAACGATCCTGTAGAATACTTGGGCAAGCTGCCTTCAGTTATGTGTGAAGGCTGAATATATATACTGTATATAAGCCTGGCAGGTGCCTTTTAGAAACCAGCAAGCATCTTAACATTTTAGGTGGATGGAGGCATGACGATTACTGCTGAAAACTGCACAGAACCTATGGTAATATCATGAAATTTGCAAAGAGAAAGCTATAGGCTACCTTTCCCCCACCCCACCTAATGCATGTCAGGAAAAGCATGCAAAAGAATACAAACAATAAATGTGTAGCCTGTCATTTCAGATAAGCATGAAAAAGGCCAAAAGCCTTGAAGATAAACTGCTGCACAGATGACTCAGTACAAACCTGAGAAGGGAGGAGAGACCAATTTCACTTAAAGTGTAAGACCTACTTAAGCAGTAGCTTTCCATTCCTTCCATTGCTTCTGCAAATCTGGCAATATAGCTCTCTTTAGCCTTCATGGACAAGAGTTAAAGGAGTGAGTGTCAAAAATACCCTTATCAATAAATGTGAAATTATAGGATGCGTTGGGAGCTAGAATACTACAGAATACAATATTTGGTTCCAGTGTTAGCACCTTTCCAATTGGTATACAATTGGATTAGAAGCTTTCTGGAAGGGGCCACACATCCCCCATCCCTGATTTATCCTATGCAGCTTTACAAGAGTACATTTTGTGAGACACAGGTCACATTAACACCATATTTTTAAAGCACATGACTGAGCTCAAAGGATCCTGGGACCTTTAATTTACCCCTCAGTGGTGTAATATGGGTTGCCAGGGCCCAGGGCCATGTGGAGGGGGGGCAAGGGAGGGAAACAGAGTACGCATACACATTCAACTACCTAACAGCATCTGCGTCACCCAGGAGATCGCAGCCACAGAGATAAGAATAGTTGTTCATTTGTCTGGAGAGCCACTTGCTTGTTTGCATGGAGAAGCCATTTTCAATGCAGCTCAGTGATGGAAGTTCACAGTTGTATTGAGGCAGCACCATGTGTTGAAATGTTGCGGCCCTAACAATTTTGTGCCCTAGATAACCACCCCTATGCCCCCCCTCCATGCTATACCACTGTTAACCCTCACAGAGTTACAATTCCCAGCACCCTTAACAAACCACAGTTCCCAGAATTCTTGGGGGGAAAGCCATGTGGTATAAATGTATAGTGAAGATGCGACCTCAGGCTGCCATTCTAACTCTACTTGTCATGGAGTAAGCCCCACTGAATTCAATAGGACTTACTTCTGAGTATACAAGGATCACGTTGTCAGAGATCAGCAGCAGTTCAGCTCAGGATAACCATTGGTGGACAAGATTGTCCACATCCAACATTTGTTGACTCTTGGCTTCTTTTGAAGAAGTATAGTCTCACTTTTGGCAGACAAATATATTTGCTTTACACTGCACTCCAAACATGCAATATTCTAAGACAGAACTGCAGAACTTGGGATCCATTATGGCAAACTCAGTCCACTAGCAATGTCCCCGTTTCTGCCATTCCTGGCAGACAATAAAAGCAGGAAGCTTATTAAGCTCAAAACCCCACAAATTTGATAGTCATGGCGACCATGCTCCCCTTCCCTTTGTCCCTCCCCTGGTTTTTAACTTCATACTGCAATAGCCCTGCTGCCTTATCTTGAGCCTTAAACTTATGGTGCTTTCAGAGCATCACAATTTTAGGGTGAGATTTACATCCCAGCAAACTTAGGCTGCACAATTAAAGCTGGTTTGGAGCCTTTGCAGAACAAGCCCTACAGAGACTGGAGTTTTTTTG